GACGGACATCATCAGAGCGAGGTAACATCGTCACAACAAAATTCAAGCTTACGAGTCAAGAAAACTCTTCTCAAACCGTCTTCTGGTGAAACCGACCTTAGAATCTCTTCACCCAACACTTCCACTCGAAGTGGAAGTAAGCTCAACAACGTGTAACCGGTTGCCGGGTTTTGCCTGAGCATTGCCTACAAACCGACAGGAAAGCGAGGGAATAAAATGTCTGACAGTTTAGATTACCAGAATAATATAAATAATAGGCCACTTAATGCCATCGGATTCGACCAAGCCATGCCTCCCAGAGGATAGATTTTATCTCAGCATCCACAAAGGTATCTGAAACTGGGTCGAACATGTCAAGCGGCAACGAGTGTCATTGGTTCACAGGGCAGATGTCACTTTGAAGGTAAGCCAAGCTTTCTTAATTGGCGCATTTGTCGAGACGACATGTTTACATTTTGCCAATAAAAATAATGACGTTACATAATATCAAATATGTAGATCTCGAAAATGACTGTAGATATGAATGAAGGATCCGAGTCACCTTAGGTTGTTCAAATAGTGGGTACTTAGACCAACTTAGATACAAAGACCAAGATGTTGTGGCCTCTACTTTGGTCGCAGTCTCCTTTCGATGCATAGAAGTGGTCTGATCTCTTTTTCCCAAGTTGCCCGTGCTGTCAGGGCAACCCAGCTGGACGCACCTGAGAATGTACCAAGTTCACGGTCCGACGCTGGAAATCGGCGTAACTATTATCGTAGAGGATTTCGGACAAGATGCGTCCAATCAGGTCCTCCTGACAACACGAGGAAGTTCCTAAAGGGAGGTCAGAGCATTTGAACTAACTTAACGGAATTAGTACAAATGTCTACTAAAAGTTTGGAAACCTACTTCCATTCGGTTTGGACTCGAATTGCCATCGGGATCTGGCAGCTTGCTCGAAATACTTCAAGCACTGCTGTGCAAAGAATAGCATATTCTTTGTCTTTTTTTCTCCTTTCAGCTTATTGATGCCGATTTAATTCTTTTTTGCCTACAAACCCACGGAAGTTAACCGAACAGAACTCGAAAACGACATCGATTGTATACTTCATTCTAAACGGCATCTCTGATAGGTATTACATCTCTCCTGCAGCCACACCTCTCTTTTCCCATTGTTGACTTGAACAGATTGCCCATTTCCAGGAGGATAGGAACAGGGCAGTGACCGACAAAGACTGGTTTCTAGGCTGTCCCCAACTGGGCCAAGTTTGTCTAACAAGAGGTAAAAAACATGTGGTCTCGGAGTGCGATCTTATCACGACCAAAACTGCAGAGAGCAGCGGGCCGTATTTTGCCTGGAGGAATGCGAAAGAAACGCTTCAGACTCAGGCAGACAGGCCGAGTCGTTTGTCCGACTGACAGATAGACATAAACCTACATGCACATACGGACAGGCCTAAGGAGGGACCTATGGACGGACGAAGAAGAGGACAATCATGGATGCCTTGTATCAGAAGACGAGAAAGCCAAGGTTGCAAAGAGTAAAGAGAGAGAAGTAGAGAAGGAGGAGAATTCGAAGAAGAAGAAAAAGGAGGACGACTACAACGACGTTGAAAAGGCGAAGGACTAGGAGGAAGAGGAAGAGGAGACGGAGTAGAAGCAGAAGGGAAAGGAAATGGAAGAAGAAAATGGACGAGGGTTGGAGGACGAAGGGAATGAGGATACTGATAATTATGATGTTTAAGTTGTCTACGACGAGAAAGAGTATTAAGAGGAGCAGGAGTCTGCAAATTACTTGCTGTTTCTGTGCCAAAATGAGCCTTGGAACCATGTGTCTGAACCTACCTTTATAAATTATAGCTCAAATCACCTTTACCATCTTTCTGAATCTGACTATAATCAACTTGCTTATGCTGATCTTTTGAGTATATGTTATGATTTGGTTTATATTAAATTTAATGAAAACATTGCAATATTGTACTAATTAATTAGAATGAAGACCAGAACTCAGCAAAACCTTGTCCAAGGTTCTTAGTTTAGGAGACTTCCTTAGGCTCAAGGCAAGGGCGGATAAGTAGTAGAAGAAAGTTTTTCTGCAGGTAAGAAAGAATTATGATAAAAAAATAAGAAATTTTGCTATAAGAACCAACTCAAGGCAAGAGTGAGACTCTAGTACACTGAAAGTGTTAAATCTGTCCCAAACTTAATTGAACATTTATACTGTAGATTAGTAGGGACTTCAATGAT